ACGGCCACACGGGTGGCCGGTGGAAGTGACAGCTTCACTCTCTTGTGCTTCCGTCCTGGGCATGCTTGTCGGAGTTTTTCCAAACAAGAGCAGCTTGTCCCTCTAACGAAGGTGTTGTGACCCTGCCTGCAGTTTCCATCTGGACAAGGGTAAATGCTTCTTGCAGCAGGACACAAGCATGGCTTCCCCCCCCCCCAGGTCCCTGCAGTCCTGTACATTTTCTGAGCTGCAGGACTGCAGGGGCTTTTGTTGGTACCTATTCCTGTGAATTCCCAGTGCTGTTTCAGCTGCACACCCCCTCGTAGCAAACTCTCTGCACAAGCCAGTTGCCCAGGCTAGTAAACACGGCACACACCTTCTATGCCCCTGGGGCATTTTATAGGCTTGCCATTTGTAGAAAATGAATTGTACATCAGTTATTCCAATGAACAATGATAGGGCTGTTGCTTTCCTGTTAAGCATTTTGGTGGGGTGTTGTAAAGTCCTTCCAGTCCCATGGGACTGATATTGTAAACTTAAATTTTCCAATATTATGCACAGGAATAGATAACACTTCTCTATATTTGACAGATGATTAATATACCAAGTATTTTGAGTGCCTTTTTGCTTTCATAATGATTGAGAGCTTTAAATAAAGCACCCCGCCTGCTCAGAAACTGTGTGAAATTCTGCAGAAGCGCCAGCCTATCAAGAGTTTAGCTCAAAAATCATGTCAGTTCCCTCAAACAGGTGCTAAGCCTAATGTTGCATTGAACCTGGGACTTTCACCCCATGAGTAATGTGAATATTTATTTCAACTTGTCCCTTGTACTGGCTTTTACTTTAGCCATTCTTTAGTTGCATAAAGTTGTTTTAGAGAAATGCTACATCATGGTTTCATGCTGTTGCTTTTCATGATGAATGTTTAATATGAACAGTGACTATTTTGTAGATTTCAAATATACAGTACACAGTTGCGTTTCAGAGGATTTAATTTCTCGGTGTAAAGAGTTTTGTAATGGTGCTTTGTACAGTATGTATTCTAATTTTTTTTTTTTTTTTTTTTTTTTTGCACATAGGTTCAGTTTCCCTAAACTGATTTATTTTTACCAAATGTTTGCATTGTACTAAAGTCCAGAGCACACAAGTTTCCCTTCTTTAGTTTTGTTCCACAACACTACACTTATATTGAACTTCTGGTGCGTTTAAACTGGCTGCATGGATGGAAGTAAAAGCTTTGCTTCTTTCTCATAAGTATGCATCATCTTACAGCTTAAAGTAGCATGCTCCCATTGCTTCAGATTTTAAACTGCACCATATAGTTAACAGGTGCCCATTGTTGTACTTGACATTCTCTATCGTAGGCTTTTGGCTCTACCACATCTTTAGAGCTTTATCTGTAGCTGTAATTAGTTTATCTTCAATTGTAACTCCCCCTCCACAAACTGACAGTTTTTAGTTTATCATTTCCATTGTATTTATTACAAAGTGTTTTAGCATTGATATCCATTGTATTTTCACCCAGCTGTTACATGAGCTTTAACAAAACATCTGTATAAAATGGTTTTTAAATACTTAATGTATGTACCCATGCAGAAGTTGAGCAATAAATTGTATGCTGTTTGCACCGTCACAGCATCAATGGTTTAAAAAATGTTCAAAGTTTTTAATTAAATATTTACATTGATTTACAATAACGAGAGGCTTTGAGTGAGTCAACTCCTTTAGAGGAGAATGTATTTGTACATGTTCATACGTACAGCATGGGCTCGGCCCTCAGTTGTGGTGAACTTTGCTGAAAGAATAAGGAAGCGTGCCTTGTTCTAGTGTCTCCCAGCAATCTGTCTTTTTATAGCAGGCCCTGAACAGTGCTGCCTCAAAGCACAGGTAAGTGAATAGATGTCTTTGCTGCTTGATCTAGCACAGCTGACCCAGATTCTTTGTGGAAGATGAAAGAAATACATAACTCAGACAGTAACTATTTTAGCTTCATTCAGCTGCAGTAAGCATAGTTTTACCGGGTCACAGTCTGGAGTTGGCCTATCTTAAACTCAATGATCTGGAATGGCTCTGGTGAATTGAGCTTTTATGGCAAAAGGGAGATTACTGCTGTAGGTTTAGCTTGTCAGGGAAACGTGTTAGATGCAATCTTCTCTTTCCCCAAAGCTGTAGCACACCTGCCCTCAATACTTTCACAAGTGCTCAAGAGCCTTCCATCACCTGGCCTGTTGACAGGACACTTGTGTTTGTGGGAACTGTTCCCTAACTGACAGGTAGCAGTGCCCAGGACATCTGTGCAGGCTACAGGGGCAAATAAAATGTTCAGCAAATAAGGCTCAGGCACCAGGTCACTTGCCTTGTGTAATTACACAGGGTCGGTGTAGCAGAGCTCCCGCTAGAACTTGCAGGTGGGTCCCCCCAGACCAAGCATTTGAGTAGCAGAGGTAACACTAACTACAGAACATAGGTAGGTTGCAGGCAGCAAGCTTTAAGAGCTTCCATACTTGAAATGTTCTCAGTTGAAAGGTGAACACTGAACTGCAAGTTAAATTTAAGACCTGAAACTTTAACTAGTGCCTTGAAAACCTGTTTTAAATACCCTGACAAGGCTAGAACTAACCTGCGTTGTCCTAATATGACAGCTAAATATAGGCTCTTGCTTTGAGAAGACTGAATACAAGTCTAGTAATCGACTGCTTTAGCTCAAATTGTATCATGTTTACTGCTTCATTCCTGACTCTCAGTTAGCAGATTACTTACTTAAAGTTCCACTGTTTGAGGTCTGAATACTTGCAGTCAGTCCTAGACCATCACATGCCAAATAGATCACTGCAGCAGTCAGTTAAATTTTGAAAGCCTTGTTTAAAGTCTGCACAAACCATATGCAAACCTTTACGAGGTGGAAAGATCCACAAAAATCTAAGGAAGGCAGTAGACTATAACTGGTCGATACAAATGGAGTTGTTACAGCCCCCTGCCAATAGCAACTGCATAAAGAAATGCTAAGTTTGAGATTTAAAGCACACTTATATGCCCTCTGGAAAGTAATTAAAAGCCTGCAAGTTCCAGCAGTTTTATCCGTTGGTAAATATTGTTCTACTGGAGCTTGAAGTGTGAGTGAACAAGACTGCTTTAGGAAGACCTGCTTAGAGGAAGCGTTTGGCACGAATTAGTATAGTCTTCCTTTGTTACCTATTCTGCACAGGTATCATAAGAATGCACTCTTATTGAACACACCTTTCTGCAACATGCAGTGCGTCATAATGCTGTGTACAGCGCAATGTGCTCCTCCCTTATTCAGTAGTACAAGAAACAACAGTGTTACACATCAGATTTACTGGAAACCCTTTTCTAACTTCCTCCCCTAGAGCAAACTTAAGCAATTGGCATTATCTCAAAGAACCACTGCTTTGCCCTTTTGTAATTACATTAAGTCTTGCAGTCAAATTATTTTGAGAAGTTTGTCAATTATAACTCATACATTTTACTCTGGCAAAAAAAAATGCAGCTCTGATCTACAAGAATTTTAATATCCATCATGCTGAAAACTGGTAACAGTGGGTACAGTACAGAAATGGCTCAGACCTGCAAAACCTGAGCTAAGAACTTTGACTTAACCAGATTTACTTCTACATAGTTGAGCACAACACAGATTGCCTCAATTTAAAGTAGTTAAGCAATAGTTTAAACTTTATTCAAGTGTTACAGTAAAAAAGTGTTCAAGAGTCCCAGCTACTGACACATTGATGGCATCGTGCCTTCAACATTGTAAACAAGATGAGCTGGATGCTTTACAGCACAGCGGTCACTATCCTCCAGTTATGGCAATTCCCTAACAAATTCAACAGCGCCATGGCCAGAAAGCAACTGCACTGACAGGTAATTGCCTAAGTGTTACAAGAAATGGTTTTTGCTGTACTGAAAGGAAGCCATCTGAAGTCTGGATTTCAGTCGTTCTGCTTCCAACTCTCGAAAGAAAGTATCATCATCATCTTGAGTGATCATAGTCTGCAGCTGCTGAATTTCCTTTTCCACCTTTGATCTCACCTCCCTCTTTGTTTTCTGTAGCATCTGAAAAGAATATTGAGATTAGCTCAAGCTCAGAACAAGAAACCATTTGCAAGAAGAACTGAAAACACTTACTTTTGCTTGAGTTCTCTCTCTGGTTTTGATTTCCTGATGTTCTCGAGACACAGTTTCTGCTAGCATTGAAAACTAAGAAACAGCATTGGGGTCAGAACAAATTCAGAAAAATGGATAATGTGCAGGTCATACGAGACGCAAGTGGAGCTTACCTGATCTTTGTAGTAGTTCTCCATGGACTCCAGTTCATTTTGATGTACTCTTTTTTGCTCAGCACGCTTCTCTTTAGCATAAGCTCTCAGCTCCTCTAGCCTTTGCTTCTGAATCTCTAAGCCTTCTTCAAACAGGTTTTTAAATATCTGCCAAGGATTGAAGGTGGTTAAAGTACAACCCACAAGCCTGAAGGTATTCTGATAGATGCTTTCTGGTAAAAAGCCTGGATATGATGTTTTAAACATTGTATTGTTCCGATTTGCAGATCTGATTAAATGAGCCCCACTTTTCATGTTCAATTTTAGAAAAAATACCCTGCTTTCCCCTCCCAGTTGATAACTACAGAAGTCTCTCCTTTTCCCTTACAAAATCCCACAGATTACCATGAAAAGGTCCCCAAGGGTTAAACGTGCTAAAAAACCCTAAAACATAAACTGCACTGACTTGATGTTTTTACTGCATGCATCTCTGTCCAAGGTCTATAAATACCGTCTGGGACCCAACTATAGGAGGGGACGTGGCCTATATGTAGTTATTTTTCACCTCCCAGGACCGTGTTCCATTTACTTAACTTGGCTTTTAGCAATTGGTACTGTTTTTTTAAACGCTGACACCATAAAGTCAAGTGGAAAAGATGCTCACTGAGTGCCAGTCTCTTTTATCAACACATGAATTATTCTCCTCCAGAACAAGCGCCTTTTACATACCCTTTCTTCCCGCGTCCTTGCCCGCATCATTCTGGCACGCAGCTGGACACGGTAGTCTTCATAGTACTTCTTGGCTCGAGCAATTTGCTGACGTTTCTCTCTAGTTTTGTTCTGGGTCCACTTCTGTCGATGGATGCGCTGCTTAAACTCTTGCTAAGCAGAGAGAGGGATAGGCAAAAGAGCACTGCAATTTCCTCAGCAGTGAGGATTTGAGCAGGGTTTTGTATAGAGTTTTTCTAAATAAATCAATGTTGAAGAACTACTCTCTCTTCCAAACCTACTCTGCATTCATGGCTAGGTACTGAAATCACCACTGTACCACTCAATGCTATATAATTTAGGATGTAGCATTTCCATGCATTATCTAGCATTGCAAGAGTTTATAACTAGACTAACTCTTATGGAGAGAGTTCTGTCCCTCCCATATGTCCTTGGGACTTGCTTACTGTTTGTTGTTTCATGTTAAGCAGTGACATGTAAAAAGCAAGCTCAGACTCCCATCATCACCCACTGCCTCCGTGGCCACAGACAGCAAACCTGGAGCCTTTGATAGCTGCTCCAGGGGCAGCACTCTCTCCCTGTGAGCCAACAGTGACAGTCTTTTTGGCTAAGCTGCCAGGCAAAATGTGATGTTGTGTGACAACATACCAGTCTCTTGTTGTGATCTTGATCCTTCTTAATAATTTCAGCAAGGAGGTCACGCTTCTTCAGAGCTTCTTCTACCTGAGAGTAAAAAAAAAAAAAAGGCGTTTTCCTTTTTCTTTTTTGCAGGACAGTGGGAGAATTTTTAACACAGCCACACTAGTGGTTTCTCTGTCCAAGGTCTACAAAGTTCTTTAGCACTGTGCAACTTCCTGACCAAGGAGTTAGCCAGCTTCAATGTCAGGAAGATCTTTTAAATTAGTCACTCTGTCTTCATTTAGAGAAGCTTTACAGAGGTGAGCAAGTATCACTCTCATGTTGCAAGTGGAGAAACCAGCAAACAAGGTCATTATTACAGCCAGGAACTGCACCCATGTGTCCTTATGGTCACACACCTACATTATCTACGAAGTCCTGCCTCCTTTTATAGTGCACTCTCTCCTTCCCGGAGAGGAACTGAGTGTTGACTTATATACTCCAGGAGCTAGTACAATTATGGTCATGGAAAAACATGTCCAACAAGGCAGAGCTGCTGGAGATTCTACAGCAGAGGTGGACGAAAAAACCCAGCCTGTGGGCCATATCCAGCCTGCCGGGAGCCTGAGGGGGAGGGCTGCACCCTGTGTCACTCCACTCTGCTGCAGTTGGGGCCAGGCTGGACAGCAAGGAGATGCCTCTGCCCTCTTGCCCAGCTTCCTGTTGGCACTGCTGTTGTGCGGTCCTGGCACCACAGCTGCTGGCAGCCAGGCCCCCACAGAGCATGATGCAGCATGCTGAGTAGCTGTCCTGCCCATTGCGATGAGCTGCTACGGTTCCACTAGGAGGCAAGTACGTGCCCCCAACCTCCCCCACACCTGGCCCTCAACAGTTCACCAAAACGAATTAAGTGGCCCTCCCACCCAAATAGTTGCCCACCCCTATTCTAGTCTGAAGCTGCAACATTATAAACAAGGAGTTTCCCTGCAGTTTATTGCAACACTTATCAAGTGAGCCTGTGCAGCTTCTAAGCCCTGGAATGAGACCATCTGCCTATCCAGGGAGGGGCAGTGAGATATGAACAACTCTGGTGCCTAGAGGAGATGCAGTCAGGCCATCTTTGAAATAGGAGATTTAACTTGAAGAAAGTCCAAATGGATACTAAGGTAACACTAGGATGGTGCTGCTTCACACCTTCTCCAGGTCTCCCAATACCTTATACAGCATCGAGGGAAGTGGCTGGATGTGACTGCATAATGAAGTCATCCTGAGACCAGTGTTACCTTGTGTAGAAGCACTGTCCAGGCTGACAGTCAGGTGACTGCAGGGGGAGCAGGGCAGGTACTCACTTCATTTTGGAGTTTCAATCTTGATCTCTCTGTGCCAGAAGACGACTTAAATCGTTCAATCTGTGCAAGCCGTTGCTGCCACATTTTGTTCAAGGAGTGGTGGGAAATATGCAGATGGGGAAACTCTTCCAATAGCAGAGGCAAGAGATCATCATCCTTTACTTTCACTGCAAGGGAAAGTGAGAGATGTAGGCAGTGAGCTCCTCATGTGCCATGTTACTATGATGGTAGCACTCTTATCCGTTTAAGACAAGGCAGGCAATTATTTCGGGCGGAGGGCTGCTTACTGAGTTTTTGGCAAACCATCAAGGGCCACGTGACGGGCAGCCAGGGGCAGATAAATATTAATTTTTTAATTTTTTTTAGGGGCCCCACAGGCTGGATGAAAAGGCCTGGTGTGCCGCATCCAGCCCACATTTTGCCCACCCTTGGTTTAAGACATAAATGGTGTGTTTTCACAACACCCAAGGAAATGGCCGTACGTGATTCTCTTTGGCCTCCTTCCTCTTGGAGATGCCCTTTATATTGTAGATTCTTGTTTTCAAATTAATCAGCCGCCCCCTTCCCTTTTCAAATGGTTCAGAATTCCAGTGACTTCCCTATTACTGCTCCTCATTGTCCACAAGCAATTTAAAATTATGCCATACAGCTATGCTGGGGGCAAAATGCCACAGCTGAATTCCATGTCAAGCAAGTTATTTTTTATCTTCAGCTTCACTAGGAAGAACACAGCAGGGTGGTAGGTCTAGGACTGACTACCCCTGGAGTTCCCATGGCTTTGGAGTGTGCATGTGAATGAGCTTGACTCTTCATGATGAGATCTATGCAGAGGCTGTACGAAGCGCACATTCACTACTCATACTATTGACATAAGTACCCCTCCAACACAGTGGAAACAAGGAGAGGGTGGGTGCCATTCAGGCCAGGGATTCATTGCAGGACCATGAATGCACAAGCTAGAACCTGGCCTGTAGTCTGAGCGTTGACTGTTCTCGGCTTGGGACTGGTGGCAGCATTAGTGCCATGACACCGGTCACTTTCCATACCAACTGCATACCAGGTAAGAAAAGCTGACATGATGCAGATCCCAGTGTTACCTGGGCAAGCACAGCTGCAGGTGCCTTGCTACCTGGCTCTCTGCTCTGAGCTCCAATTAAAAAAAACTGAGAAACCCTTAAATGCAAGAAAAGGCTGAGGCTGAAACTTAGAAGGAGCAAGTCAGGGAGCAGCAGTAATGGGAGCAACTTCAGGGGATTTTAAGAAGGTAACAGATGGGTCACGGGTTGACTTGTGCATCAGCAGTTTACGTCAACTTAAAAGTATCTTCCCTTACAAAAATCCAGACATATGGAGGTCATAAGAGGGAAAAATGCTACAGCTGACGGGTATACATTGGCCTGATGCCTTTATTCTTGAAGCTCAGCACATGCTTTCAATGGATGCCAGTTTTCCACCAAGTACAGTTTTGTGGTTCTTACTTGGAGCTGCTTTCTTTGGCTTTGCGTAGCCTCCTCTTGGAATCCACTGGCTGTGTTTGGGATTCCGAGGTGTGGGTTTTCTAGAATAAACTTTCACTGGCTGAGGCATTTTTGGAGGTTCTTTAAATATGTTTTCTTTGTATTCTCGTTCCTTAGGAGCAGATGTAAAACAGATGGAGAACAGGTATGAGAGGGAGAGGAGTGTTAGCTCACATTGTTTGGAAAGCAGAATTTAACACCAGTTTGTCTTTAGGCGGATGTATTGGGCTGGATCCTCCAGCTGGGATAAAATCCACTAGAGGCAGAACAGGCATGATGTATAAGCTTTTGCTTGCACAGCCCTGATCACAGTACTGCTCCATGCCCGTTTGTCCTGTGCCCTTCACAACAGCTTATGAACTGCTCTAATCTGCACCTGCAATGGCCAAAAGGACTGAAAACACAGCCCCTATTGGCACAGCATGCAAGCATTCCAGCCACGTTCCCTCTTGCCACACAAGCTGCAACTGCCAAGAGAGCCCCTGCCAGACTTACAGCACTAGGGAACCACCCTGTGCCAATCTGAATCTTGTTTAAGCAACTTTACCCCCGCGTTGCAGTGACAGCGCAGTACAAACTGTGTACTGCGTTGGAGGATCCGAGCTGTTCAAGTAACTCGGGGTACATGCCAATCTGTCAGTTGCTGAGAAACCTATTTTCTTGCTATAAGTTTTCTCCCTGGATCTTTGCATGTCCCTTGCTACCCAGAGCTCTTGGAGAGGTCACTTAAGCAATGCATGGTGCTAGTGCTGTTTCTCTAATTCCTAGCACCACAGTAGAGCTAACCACCTATCTACCAGACTGACTTTGCCAAGTATCTTACCAGAGGAAACAATGCCAGAATCCCGATTTGCTGTTTTGAGTCATCCCCAAGGCATCTTTCTTGGAGGAAAGCTGAGCCTTTACATGTCCTTCTTTCTTCCCCCTCCCACTTCCACCCACCCTGAGAAATGCTACTGGCCAGTGACCCCTAAGCAGTGTAAGCTGACATAAGTGTATCAGTTATGCTGAGAGTTAAAGCACTGTCTGAAATGAGGAGCGTCATTTTCCTAGAATAAGGCTGAAAAGCCTTGTCCACATAGCTGGGATAGCAGGTATGGACAGTAACCTTTAGATACTTTAATATGCCATTTAGTCTTTTTCTTAATGCTTCACTTACCTTTTCCTTAGCTTTTGCTCTTAGTTTGGAGAGTTCGAGTCTCTCTCTAGCTTGATAAATTCTTAACTCATCTTCATACGCTTTAGTCATCAGCTAGAAAAAAAATCAAGATGAGAGGATTTGACATGTATACATTTTTTTGTAAACAAGGTGGATGATCTCCTCAAAGGAAGTCGTACACAAAACTTACTGATGTCAGAGGGGCTTCCTTCATTTCTAGCTTACTAGGAAGCTTATTTCCCAGATAAGGAACTGTCCTTGATGATCTAAACCAGAGGTGCACAACTAACAGCCTGTGGGGCTCTGACAAGGTGCATTTCACAGCTGAGGTCTGTCGCACCACAGCTGAGACCTGCTCTGACTGGATGCAAGGCCTCTGCACATTTGTGAGTGGGAAAACTGGATGGTGCACGTACAGTGCAAGTTAACAAGTCACTGAGCAGCAAGACATAGGACTTGCTCTTCTGCTGTATCAAATGGGAAAGGATTTGAAAGGCCTATTTGCAATAGGTCACTGGGATTGCTCTGGTCCTGATGCATGCATTTGTTGCTGCCTCTGCTCACCAAAAGCTCCTTTGCTGGCTTCTGGGCATGTGAGAAGGTAGCAGAAGACACTGGGCCCTGATCTTAAATAACAAGTGGAATAAAGCCCAGCTATATCAAAAGTAATAATTTTTAAATCCAAGCTCAAAACAGCTGCACTCCTCCAGGACAGTGCATAGCACAAAGTCAAGGATTAAGCACATGACAGCTGTAGGTCACTCGGTCAAATGATGTGGCTATGAACCAAATTCCAGAGGCAGCTAAGCAAATTTACAAATCAGACCCTCTTTTAAGAAATGCTGCAAAAAATCTGCTTTTCAAACCTTTCCCCCTTAAGAGGAATGACTCTTACAACATGGGCACTGGTTTACACAAACTGGCCTAAAAAACTGAAACCATCACCTGATGGGCCATCCACACCCACAAGTAGGACCTTACTGCAAAAAGGTAATCTAATTTAGGGACCTCAAAAAATAGTCTAGAAGCAGTTATAGTGTTCTTCATTTTGCATGCAAAGTGTTCAGGTGCTGTGATCTCAGCAATATAGACAAGTTCTGCTAAATAGAAAATTTGCAACAGATGCAAATTTTCATGTTCACTAACTTTTGTGAAAAAATATCCTCAGAACAAAATGTCAAATAAACTATTTTTGCATTGCATACAAAGCAAGAAAGGACTGAGCTCTTTGCATCTATACGTTTGTAAGCTAGGCTCATCTTGAGGATATCAGTCCATTTGGAAAGATTACAGTTTGAGGTCTTCCTTCTTAAGAATGAGAACTCTTTAAGCTGTAGTGGCTGTCACAGAGCGAGCTCGGGCCCTTAAAATTTCTGATCCCTTATACTGCCACACAGCCTCTGTCAAAGAAGAGGATTTCTGGGGCTTGTGGCCCAAGCATGCTGGGTATAAAAGAGCTGTTTTCCTCAGTTTGAGGATGGTCAGGGAGTTGGTAGGGTTTGTTAAGAGTATCTCTGCTAAGGAGGGGGTTATTTTAAGGTGAGTACTGATCCTAACTAAAGGGAGAGATGTCAAGGAATAAGCCTGCAAAAGGAAGCCTTGGAAAAATGCTGGGGAAGAACTGAGCAAAAAAAAAAGTGTCCTGTATGAAAGGTGAATTTCTGAGAAAAGGGAAAAGATGCTGAGGACAGGACAACATAGAAGAGGTTTTCTGCTTTCTGGCTGATTTGTTTTACCCCCAAAAGGTGTTCGGTTTCAGCTAGAACATCTAATCATTCACCCAATCAAGAGGGGAAACTCGAGCACCAGTCAGGACGGATGAAGGTAAGAGATACTGTCGTTGTAGCTTTCTCTCTCTTCTAAACAGCCAAAAAATATTATAGGAAAATACACTAAGCAAACTCATCACAGAAACTAGTCAATTGATAGAGAAAGTGAATGCATCTTTTCTGACTTCCCTGTATGGTTCTCTGCTAACAGCAAAGCTCTGGTCATGTCTGAACACTTGAGCTAATTAAACTCCATAGCTCACACAGTTTGTACTAACCTATTTATACAGAAAGAACAAAGTTTTATGTAAATATAGATATTTTAACAAATAGAGGGAATATTACTGGACAGAGGGATGAACAGCAGGGAGAAAGTCAGGTGGTGAAAATGCTGTGGCCTAATCTAGCTAAGGAACTGCAGGTAAATAAGAGGCAACTGAAGTGTTTTATGTAGTTACAGGAGGAATCTAGATAACAAAAGGGAGGACCGACTCCTGGTGCAGAATGTGAAACCTGTTTATTCTAGGAATAACAAGGGAAAATACCATGCTTCAATACCTGCTATACAGGTAGTTAAGGATCTCTGCTGTTTAGGAAAGCTAGCAATAAAGACAGCTTGTATGTTAACATGAAACTAATTTAAAAGGATAGTAGAGATAAGTTTTGTTTAGGACAAAACTTCTTTGGAGCAGGTGTTCTAAGATCCACTGTAGAAGCCAGGGTTAGATTTCAATGTAGCTAAGAAACTTCTGGTGTTCTTAAAGAATTATGGTCCGAGCTGCATATTGCCAGCTTCGTTTTCAGTTGGGAAACTGCCCAACACATACTGCTTTTTTCTAAGCCTGGGAGCTTGCTTTTCTTCTTTCCAGCTGCATGTAGATCATGGGGTGGGGGGGCGGGTGGAAGCGGTGTAAGTGCTTGGTTAGTCCATTGTATCTAACAGGGCTCTGAATAACAAATTAACAAGCCTTAATGAGGTGCAAACAACTTTACAGGCTGAACACACCTCTAAATAAAGTAATGAACTGTGAACAACTGTGCCTTATTGTTTTAGTATGCCTGAACCAAGTCTTAAATCAGTGTAGTGTTAGCTGTAATATGGTAATCAATAGCCGTCTACACAATTTAATGATTGACAACACTATCTGTGGCCATGTTAAGTGAACTACCAAGAAGAGTTTCCTAGGAGTTTGTCTAGCTTTACCCCAACTACATAGCTGGTACAATAAAAGCTATCACCCTAAAAAATTCTTTCCTGGGAGACTAAATCTTCTGACCGCAGAACAGGAACTAACAGCAGGACATAGCTATTCTTTACCCGACACTTAGTAAGCCAATGAGAGGAGATACTCTTTGAGCCTTTTCTTTAGTAAGAAAGAATCCCACCACAGAAGAGCTGGATCAAGTTAAAAATAACCTTGCATCAAGCAATCACTAACTTTTTATTTGATCTGAATTACTGGGAAGGAGGAGGAACAAAAACAGGCTTATAGCTGAGGGGAAGTTTTAATGAACTAAGGAAACCAGTTAGTAAAACCAATGGTACCAGTAGCTCAGGGACACAAACGTAGGCAAAGTCTGGAATTTCTTTCAAGTCAAAAGGTACAAAGCCAATCTGGAATTTGTATCCCGAGAAAGGGGAAAAAATAACAGGGAACGCCTCCAGATGAATAGCCACATCAGAAATAAGGAATGGAAATACAAACAATTACTCAGCAAAAAAAGCTACATCTTGGAAATCAAAAAGCATAGGGATGAAATAAAACTGCCAGGAGTCAACATAAGTTAGTCCCTGCAAAGGATATTAAAAGCAGTAAGAGTATTCAGCCATGAGGAGAGAAGAAAAGAACAGAGGTAGAGATTAAGGATAATTTAGGTATGGGCTAAATAGCAATTATCTTTATTGAAAACTTAGGAAAAGTAAGAAATGTTATGGAATATATGGCAAATGTATGATGGTTAATGGGCAATGAGGATGTGAAAATGGAAGTTACAGTTGAGGTGAAAGCAAAGCTCAAAGGTCTTGATGTAATGCAGCTGGGGAAGATGGGGCAGGATAATCCCAGAACTCTGTAAGAACTGGCTGGTGAAATTGCAGGTCTGACAGCAAACATTTCTGGTAGACCTACGGCATCTCCGGTGGTTCTGTAGAATTGGAGAAGTGCAAGTGTGGCACACTATTTAAGAAAGGGGAGAAATGATACAGTCTGTCCTCAATAGTATCCAAGGCTTTAACACAATTTTCAAGGAAAAATAACTAGTGTCCATGAGTTAAACACGTTATGGGTTTTCCCACAGGTAGAGAGCATGCCAGACAAATCCGGCATTTTAAAAAAATAATATTACTGATTTAAATAAAAGGAAATGCAATAGATGTCATCCATTTGACTTTAATAAAGCATTTGACATGGTACCACATGGGAAATAAGTGAAAATGGGAAAAGTGTACCTTAGCAGAAGAATTGAGGTATATAAGGAACTACTGAAAGGGGAAACAATGGGTAATACTGAAAGTGGAACCACTGAGCTAAAAGGAAGCAACTTGTAGAATTCATCAAGGTTCAGCTTTGGGTCTGAGCTTGTTTAGTATCCTTATGAATGAAGAACAGAACTTGTTCAGTGTATTATAGAATATGACTCTCTCTGTAATAGCAGAGGAGAGTGCTTGACACAAGATGCCCTGCAGGTTTTATATTCCTGATCAGTAGTGAATGGACCAGCAAGTCCTTCAGTTCCCAGTTTTTCCTGTTCTGCACATGGTTCAAAAAGCTGTTGTTGTTTGACAGAATAGAGCAGTGTGGTGCTCTATTCTGCAAAGGAATAGTTACCTTTGCTTTCATTCTCCTGTAATCCTGTTCCTTTTGAAATTGCCTGCGCATCTGCCCCATCTGGCCTCTTGCATCTCTCTGAAGTGCATCTTCAAACGCTGAGGGATGTAGATACCTGGATGGAGGTGAGGATGGAGAAAGGGACCGTGGCCTGGTATTTTTTTTTGGACATGGGGTGCCTGTAAAACAGATGACTGCTGTGATAGCAAGTACCAAAAATACTAAATCCAAAACAAAATCCAGAAAATGCATCACATGCTCTCAACAAACAAACAGGAATAACATTTAGGACAGAAAACAATTTAAATTTAAAAAAAACAAAAAGACACTTAATTTTTCAAGTTCTCTGCCCCAAGCTGTTGGTCCCTCCTGGAGGACATGACAGCTGTGTGTCAAGCCAAGAGTGCCAGAAAATACTACATGACAGAAGGAAGAGGCAGTGAAAACATTTTTCAAAATTATGGCCTACCTAGGCAAGTTTGCAATGTATAAATGCTGTATTTTTACAACAGTTTGATCTTGCATTCGTGGACTGGACTAACATATTCCAATGTTAAGGCAGTCATCTGCGTATGCTAGGGTAACATAACATTATCATCAGCACTCACCTGACAAGAGCTATCTTATTATATAGCTTAATACACATACTGTTTATAAGAAATAACAAATATGGCCATGTTTGTTCCAGTCAATAGGCCCATGTTTCCGTGCGCCTAATGCTTCCATCAGCGTGGTCAGTGCATTAAGAACGCTCTGAACTCATTTTGTGTTGTCTTTCTAACTAGCAAAGCTTCATCATAGGAGGTAAATACTTAAATATCTAAATCTTAATACTACTCCAGTTATTAGGATTTTATTTCCTTATGCCTACTGCCCACTTACATTTTTTAAATGTAACCGCAGATATATAACCTCCATAGTAAATTATTTATAGAGTTGGTTTGTTATGAACTTAAATATAGAGGGGGAAAAAAAAGCACTCATTGAATAGTATGCTTGGGATTTTTACCTGGGTGAAGTATCCTCCTCCGGTAATCCATGACACTGTCACTGTGCTGAGACAATCTGTCTTCATCTGTCAGCTCCTCCTCCCTACTGCGCTCACCCAAAGCTCTCTTTAACATCTGTTCATTAGATATTCTCGTTAGCTTCAACTGTTCAGCCTCAAAGTCTAGAACTACCTGACAAGACCTAGGGCTACCAATTATGGGCTTCCTTTTTTAGAGATGCTCATTTGCATTTCACTGGTAACATTCAATTGAAATCTTGTAGAAATATCAAGCTAAGCAAAAGATGTGTTAATATAAATTTAACAGTTACACAAGACCTGAGCATCAACAGGTGCTATATCCAAATATTAGTAATCCAAGTATCTTCTGAACAAGACAGAACTTTATCAAGACTGTTAGCACAAAAATATCACCCCAGTCTTTTGCCTTGGATGAAGTAATGTTAAGACATTCTGCAATATTGTCCATCATTTTACATTAGAAATAAGGGAGATACTAAGCCTCTAACTTAAGTTTATCTATTAATCTTAGCAAGACTGATCAAATATCCTAGATTTTCATGTTCCCTAAATTGTTGTTACAAGGCTGGTTCAGTTCTGAGAAACATAGCAAGAATTAATTCCCACTTACTAAATCTAGTTCATTTAACCTGCGTGAGAGCTTCTCTGACACTTCCTCCAGCTCCTGCTCGGATAATTTCCCCTTTGACCTTCTGCGGAAGAGAGGCTCTTCCCCAAGCGAATCGGGGATGGAACTCTCATATCTGCCAGAACAGAAACACGTGCACATAGCTTTTGTTCCTAAGGCCAACACTACATAATACAGAGTAACTTAAACCTGCAGTGCATAAGGAGTAATATAAATGCAAGCTTTGTGGAAAAAAAAGACTTAAACTCTTTGTTAAAGGAACTAAAAAAAAAACTCTGGGTCTTCATTAAAAGCTAACACCACCACCAACCAGCTCTGGCTGTATTCTGACCAGCAGTTCTGGAATTAATTACCCTTATAAAAAGAAGAATGAACATTATAAGCCTCAACAACTTATTCAAAACCAGAAAACCAACTTGCCTCTCAACATCAGACAGACTCTTTGTTTCAGGTTTTGGGGTTAATGCTTTTGATGTCGTCTGTTGGGTGCATGATGAAATGTCACGGTGTAAGTGAGAAGTGGACGTAGATGTTCCATATACACCAAGATCCTGGAAAATGGAAAGTGAAGCTCTGAGAATTTTAACTGAAAGCCTCAAATATGCCTTAAGTTCCATTTAAATAACGCTTTAGAAATAGAGAGGAGCATCCAATAGAATCTGTCTGGATGTAAAGCTTGAATCCCAAGATCAAGGAAATGAGTAGGATTATTCTTCCAGATTCTTCAATAGGGAAAGGACACCAAGTGTTGAGTGAAATCAAACATGAATTAAATCTGACAAAACTTCAAGTTCCATGTGACCTGGTCAAATGTTATGGTGGCATAAGTGAGAGAGACTACAACACTCAGAGGTGTGAAATTCCACGTTCAGCTCTGCAAGGTGTTAACTGAAATGTCCAGCAACAATCATGTAGATGTCAACAAAGTTGTCTAATGTAATTAGCCATTTAATTTTTTCCTCATACTAAAGTTTTCCCTCTTATGACCTGCTGTCAGTTTTAACTGCTGTACTTCAGCCTGTCCCTTTGTATATTAACATTTCCTCCAGCTCTGCCACAGCAAATGTGAAAGAGTTGTAGGAAGCGCCTGAAGGGGACAGACAGCAAGTCCTGTGAGTACCCCTTGTGGTGGCTGAGGGTAAAAGATTCTAACTGATGTGTAACCAAGCTGATTATAGTAAAACTTGCAGTGAAGCATGGTGGATTAAGTTACAAGGGAAGTCCACTTAATTTTGAAAGTCCTAGTCATGCTTCCAGCCCGGAACTTTTCTTTCCATATTCCCAGTTTTGGCCAAATTGTTTCATGTTTCTGACCAGCCCAAAATGATTTCAGACATATCTGGCAATACTCATCAGAGCCCTGTGAAGTGATTTAGAGCAAATTTCTCCTGCTGAGCTGGCTTGTCTCCTGCAGGCTCTTTGGGTGCAATGGAATCTTCCGACCTTCTGTAGGTCCTGAGTTGATTCCATTTATCATCTGCCAGCTTTCAGAGGAAGGCAGCTCAGCATCAGGTCACATCCACAAAGCTTTTGAAATGAGAAGGGCTGGAAACAAGTTGAGATGCTTCATTTTCCCAAGTGGAAATGCCGGAAACCCATGACCCTGTACACAGATTTAAACTAGTCCTGCCACAATTACCTTTGCTGCACCCTCATCACCATTTAGCTCATCATCTTCTGAGACCATCTTATCTCCAGCTGGAAAATCTACAATAGAAATGTATTAGATAACAACATTCTGTATACAGTGCTCAAATGTGCTTGGTGATTTGTAAAACAAATGCACAAGGCAGGGGCCCCAGCATAAACTATACGATGTTGCATCCAGTGTAAAGTGTTGACTAGACAATTCAGCAAGTCTTTACTATGGCATGCTACAATTTCAATGCTGTTTTTGGTAAATTATAATTCCTTGATTTGGATTTTAGGAAATACCAAAGGTTGGTGCTATGGAAACAGCAAGGATAACAAGCATCTCTAGGACAACAAAAAAAACTAACTTCTGCTACTTATTTTCTGGAAATGTGTGCAAATAGGAAGTTCTAAATTTCTCTTTTCCTCCTGGCATGTAACACCATTTGTCTTTCACCACATTCACAACTAATCTGTGTTTAGCACCGATTCAACTACAGCCTTTGTCAGCAGTGAGTATTTAAGTAGCATATACAAATCTTAAATGGATTGTGGGCCAAAGGCAGGTGAGCACCAAAGTTTTTCATCCCGGTAGTATGCATCTGCTTCAAAATGTAACCTGTCTTCCTTTTTTGGGAGGGACATTTATGTAGTCATGTATTTGTATCTTGTTGTAAGAAATGTAACTTCAGGAAGTGTTTAAATCAGCCAAAATGAGTTATTTAAGGTTTGCCAAGTTTCTTTTCTGCAATGTCAATAAGCACCAATATATGACATCGCATTTAGTGTAGTTTAATACAAAGCAAGACTTATTCTTACCACAGGTGATCCCTGACACAGAAGTGTTCCCAGAACTAGTTTCAGATTCCTGTCTACATGATTCTGCAGACTGGAGAGAGAAGGAAAAAACAAACAAACAAAAAACAAAACTAATAAAGCAATTCTTTCTGCTGCAATATAAATAGTTTGAGAAACTAAAGCTATTATTCTACACATTAGAAATCAATTCAAATTATGGTGGCTTATAAACATTAAAGCTAAATAGCTATTCCTGATGAATGTCATGCCTGGGTACACCTTTTTCAGAACAGGAATGTCTTAAGCTAGTTTAAACCACTTCTGAAATAAGTCTGTCCAGACGGAAAGTTCTCATCACGTCAACAAACCCACAGTGATATTCAGTTAATTAACTCCAATAACTGCAAATGCAGTAAAGAAAGGCTTAGAACACAAACAGAAGGCATTAACTAATAAAATCAAGTAAGAGGTTGTCACTTACAGCAGGAGTTTTAATTGTTTGACTACTGGCCAGAGCTGCTGACTGTCTTCCTGGGCTCTGGTATTCCCTTCCTACGGGATAATGGGGCCTGGGCTCAGATGGCTGATATGGTGGCTGCAACGGAATGGCTGGGCGAATGGGCTCCCCAAGCTTTTTAGCACTGGAACTCAAACTCTCTTTGTGAAATTCAGTGGAATGAACAGATTCTGCTGATCCTTTAAGACAAATATGAAGAGATGCACTAGTAAACCTCTAACCAAAATGCCAACTGCACATTTTTTTCAGTCTACTTTGGATGTGTGCAATATTCCTCCCTTATTCTGGATGTTACATATATGAAATTACTATTAGCTTTAATCTTTTCCAGATCCTGTAGAATTTGGATTGTGGGTAAAAGGAGCTACTTAAAAAAAAAAAAGGTCCGATTTGAAACACTGGCATCTGGCTTTGTACTGCCACAGTAAGATCTCCAAAACCTCAGAAATCAGCAAGTAACTCTGTGAAAACCAACAACTCTCCCTCCCATGGCACATTAAGGAAAACCCATGAAGATCTAAATAAAGAAATAATATATTATCTTTTGCTAGATACTGTGTTTCCATTCTCAATCTTATGGCTATGGGAATGAACACTGCCTTCCAAGAACTAGGAAGGCTTAAGGAATTTCTAAGTATGCCGACCAATAAATTAGACTCTCACCAACCTTTCCTCTCTCTTACAAGTGCTCTTCTGCTACTTGAGGGTTGACGCGGTAATGCCACATGAGCACTCTCAGGTTCTTTGGCCTCCTTGGAGACATCTGTCTCCGCAGGCAATAGTTCAGGGAGCTGGAACCCTGGAACGGGCGTTTTTGAAAGTGGATTTAGGTGGCTTAAAAATTAGACATCTTTAGCATCAGCTGCATTTAGACAGTTTTCACACTGAACTGACTAGGAGTTAATCCATATTGTTACAGGAACAGTATTATGTTACAAGAAGCAATTACAAAAGGTATGGGAATTTTCGGAAAACCTTTAAACATTTGTCCACCTATGTGCTCAGCTACCAGCACCAGGGACAAGATTAATGTATCTAGCTTCTATTCAGGCATTTGCTTTGCCAAAGAAGTTTCCCAATGCTGGTACTACTCCTTGGCAAGGACCACATTGAAGTGCCTTCCATTACTAGTTCCCCGAGTCATCTAAGCCTTCTTAGATGAGAAGTCTCAGCAATTCTGAAACTGTTAAGTGTTAGCCTAAAGAATGATTCATCACTACTTTATTATATCAGTCTTGGATATTGCTGCTTCTCTTGTGATAAAGACACAAACATTGTCCTAGGCCATGCTGAACTGAGTCTAGTACAGCATTTATTTTAAGCCCAATAAAACAACATTAGAACCTGGAGGAGTAGATTAGTCATCAAGTCTGGAAACCCTGAACTCCAAAGGAACACAGCAGGACCGCTATCTTAGTTAGGGAACATTGGTATCATACCATCTTATGTGAAATAAGAAGGAAAAAAGAAACCCATTTTCTAAGCACCTCTGCTTACAAATCCACTGGTGTTAGGTACAAGAGAGGATTTCACTTGCTGTCTTTATCTAAATTTCTGCTGTCTCATAGTGGTGGTATGTATTTTATGCCAATAGACTCCCCCTCTGTCCCAGAGCTTGTTCCAGTTCAGTGACATAAAGCTTCTTTTGCCCTTAAATGTTTTACCTTCACAAATACAATATTTTTTGCTGTACATGTGTACTCACCACAATTCCTTGGTATAATTAAATATTAAGTACTTCTGCTAATGCAGATGATTAAAATTCTGTCCCCACAGAATAGCCCTAAAGATGTATTTAGTTTTTGAACTTACCTTCTTCCCTTAACGAAAGTGAACATGCAGTGTCCCCAAGCTTAATTAATTCACTGGTAGATTCTGATCCTTCAACTTCCCAAGATGGAATAGAAATCTCTGATTGGGATGATCTAAGCAGAACACAGAGTAAGTTTGCCTGCACAAATCTTTGCTTTGTTAGGCCACAAGATGGAGCTACAAAAGAATATCAACCCTTTTAATCTTCAGTTAGTTGGCACTTCAGTTTTTAGAACTGTGATTAGTTCCCACAAGTTTAACTAAACTTATTTTCAATGACTTCTAAATGCAACTAAAATGAAGTGATTTAAAAGTAAGAAAGCATGTACTAAATCAACACACTTTGAACTTAACTAGATGCTATAAAGACTCAGTACTACAAGATTCAAAGATAGAAAGATTCACTTGGGCAAGCTGTCTCTGGGTTTGCAGTGCAAATACAAAGATTGGATCTAGTTTTATGTATGTTCCTACCCAGCTAATGGAAGAGGCAAATCATTCCATTTGACACTTGGGCTGAGTGTATTTGGTACTTGCATAAAACAAATGTTTTGATGTTTCAAGTATGAAAGAACTTTGCTGTAATAATAGAACTTTAAAGCAAAATCATCCACTCTTACCCCACAACTGATGGGAGTTTTTGTATTGGCATGGATTCCTTGGCATCATCTTCCAGTTGCAATTGAGGTGTACTTTGAATGTCATTGTTAATTAGCATGTCAGGCTCATCTATTTATAATCAAAATACATTAGTTAGTTTCCAGGATAACTTCATACATCTGTTAGAAGAAGGCAAGTCATCTAGTGCACCTGTTCTAGAGATCCAAAAATAATAAATCTAATGTCACAAATTGCAACTTACTTCATAAAGCTTGCACTGAACAGTTTTTTAAATATTAGGTCAGAAGTTCCTTTGACTGTAACTTCCTCCATGATGCTTAATCTAAAGAGGCTTCTCTCGGCAGGGGGGGTGGGGAATGTAATAGCCCTTTCCCATAGCACAGTACAAATTGCCAGGAAGATTTTTCCATGAAAGGATACTGCATTAAAGGAAGTAGGCACTGTCACAATTTTTTAAAGATATTCAATTTCGTTTTTTTTTAATTCTGATGTGTTGCTAAACTAAGAAATGTCACTTTTTTCTGTTCCATGTTGGAATTAAATGAACCAGTGTGCAAGTTCAGTTTGGACAACTGAAATGCATTGTTTCAGTCTCTAGCCCTATTTCAAGAGCCCTTTCTTGCACTGTTTGGATTACAAAATGCTGCTTGGATAGTTTGCATCCCAACAGAAGCCTGCTGTATGGGAGGTGCTTCTGTTGACTTCAGTGTTGTCTAACAAGGTTTTACAAAACTTTCATTTGAGCATGTTATTAAATGGCTAAAGATTCCTTCACAATTATAAAGCTGAATGTGGTGGTGAAGCAGGGGGTGAAGGGAGAAGAATAACATGGAATTTACTTGAAGGTGTGCCCTTTTTCTAGGCACACAGAATTGTGCACGTATGAGGTCAGAATGTCACTCTCAGCTTTCCTACCTTAATGATAACACTAGAGGAATGCAGACAAAATAAGAAACAGCGCATAGTCTTTAGAACTGAGATGTTTTGTTAGTTATCTCTCCACTCACCACCGCTCTGAGAAGAAGCTTCACTGACTTCTGTAAGATATTCCAGCAGGCCATCAAATATTTCTAACAGATTTCTGATAGATTCTCTCTCTCCCTTCACAATGTTCTCCCCTTAACAGAAGTTGTTTGTTATAAATTAGTCACTACAGTTTCAGAAGAGAAAAACATGCAAAAGTCAGTCAAAACCAAGAACTTTCTGGGAAGGCTACTCAGATTCTTGTTCAGTTGTCAATTGGCTCAGGAGCAACGTGGCTGGGGTTGCATGTTTTGGTCACTGCTGCAAGGATGATTCTGTAGCATGTTTTAAGGTCAGTGGCAAACATCCTGAAACTCAACTTTCCATTACAAAAACTTAAAGCTTAGCCTAATTAACATTGTATTTGTTCTCATGGAGCAGACTACCAAGCCTCCTTGTAAACAGACTGCATTAATTTTCCAGTTAAAGTCAGAAGGGGCATGTCCAGATGAGCGTGGACATGAGGTATTTGGTGCTGCAGACTGCGTGCAACCATTCCCTGTGCTGCTACTTTACAGCAGGGGGAGGGGAGGGGCAGGGCGGGGCTTGACCCTGGGAGATCCCTAGGTCCAAAAACCCACACACCAAAAAAAAAAGAGGCAATGCACATGGCAGCAGTGCCTCGCCCAAAACTAGAGCCTGGCCAGCTGGAGCCATGCTCCAACTACCAGCCAGACTTTCTGTTGGGGCTGCAGCTCCCGGAGGCCCCCAGGTAAGGCTGCTGGGGTCAGCCCAGTTGCTGGCCCCAGGCTCCCCTACCCCACCTGGGCTAACTTGCCACTAGATTCCCAGGATACAAGTAGCAGCGGCACAAGATGTGCTGCTGCTACTTGTCCCCGGGGAAACAAACACTCCTGCTCATCTGGACACGCCCAAGCTGTTCATCAAGTTGCTACTGAGGTAAAATGGAAAATCTATTATTGCAGCATGTTGAGATAGTTAGTTAGTTTTATCAGGGATGCTTGAGCAGGTAGCATCGTGGTCAATCCAGAATTACCATCTTCAGTTTTCAGGCATGTTTGATAACACTGTTCTCCTGTCTGCTACTGCCTGGACCAGTCATTGAACTGGGAAGCCAGGCTGTAGGAGTTAAGAAAAAAAAAAAAAAAACAACCCCCCCCGGCAATACTCATGCCAACCTGTGACCAAGAGATGTTCCTTGAGAGAGAGAGAGAGAGTGCAAAGCACCATTCATTAGATATATGCTTATACGTAATCTTATTCCTGGCTGATGCAGAATTAATACTTGTGGTGCAGGCTTCAGTTTTGAATAGCAAACGATACTGAAGTACCCTTAAAAGCAAATTAATCTCAGTGAAACAAAAAAGTCTTGGTAGACACCAATGTACCTTCTGAACTAGTTCATCATTATTCCAGAATCCAGAACACTTACGATGTTAGTACTGTTACTAGTAAGCGACCTGTTTTTACGTCATGTCTCCAAAATACATATTTAATAATAAACTGGTCCCGGGGGGGAACAAAAATTAAAGAACTCAAACAGGGAATTTTACATTTTGATTGTTTCAATATATAGCCTTTGTAATGCATGTAATACTGGTGCGGGGGGGGGGGGGGATAAATAAATCAGAATTTAACATTAAATAGCAAAGCAAAAAATAATCATTTGACACTATTTGATTAGTCAACATGTACATTTAAAAAGAATTGTGATCATGTGTTTTATTTCTCCCTTTAATGTTTTATAGTTTGAAGAGTCAAACTGAATTTATGTACCAGTAAACTAGCAGCTCATCTTGTTCTGTTTGTTTTTTACTTCTATTAGTGCAAGTTCATCCTTGTTGCCAAGTATGGCAATTATACCCTCCAAGGACATGCACCAGGCTGCTTCTACAGTTTCCAAGGTGAGCGGGGTAAAGCTCTCAACAGTCTGATACTGCCAACCATAATATTGCTCCAGCTGGGTGGGAGAGTGACATGATGCAGACAACAACATTAAAATTGCTGTTTTTCTTTTGGAATAGTTGGGCATCTCAACCGAAACAGCAGTTTCAAGCTTTGTTTTAACACCAGTAACCTAATAGTCTCAGCACCATTTATTACTATGCTGAATATTTTTCCATTCTCCAATCCACAACACCCAAAATTAACTAATTGCTTTACTGTCATCCATAAATTATTGACTTGCTCCCTACACCAATGATCTATTGTGTTTGTTTTTTTATATAGCAAACCCCCCTTTTTTAGCACACTTAAACATGCATGCAAACAGGGAAACAGATTCTGCAAGATCAGGTCCTTACAATATTTTAAAGGTAAGCCTTCTGTAAAAATATATTTTACAAACAAGCATCTTTTGATAACTGAGTACTCACCGGTGATATGTGACAAGCTAACTTGCAAATAGTCCAGTGCTAGAGAGTCTATCACTGCTTGTACATTATGTGCATCATCCTCTTGGGTTCTGGGAGCAGTTATGTAGTCTATGAAAAAAATGAAATGACAACAGACTATTACAGATTGCTTATTGGAGGCTGTGCTGTATACATACCTCAACTAGCCTATCCATTTCATGATTTACAATCAAGCTTACCCACAGTCATTACCATAAGAGATCAGTGGTTCTTGACCTTTTTAGACTCAAAGCACCCATTGGAAAATGCCAGCCCTTAGCTTTCACCCATTTTTTGAGAATTGGAAAAAAAAAAAAAAGGGCAATTTTTCTGCTCCAAAGAATGCAGAAAAACCATAACAGGCAGAATGTTTTTAATGCAATGGAGTCCTATTTGAAATCTCTGGGTTTATTCTTGTGAATCATGTGCACATGTAATAGCTGCTAACACTTGTGTTGCTTCCTTGGAAGGATCTCAGTTATTCATGGTGCCACAACACCCTGTTTGAGAGACGCTATTAGATATTAAGTGAAAGCATGGAACGATCCAGACAGACTTCAGGTCTACAGCCAGAGTTTATAATGCAGAGGCATCTGCCATTCATTATTAATTGAACTCAAAATAATGGTGTTTCTCTCTTAGCTCTGAGTAATAAAAAATTTAAATGGAGAGGCCTGGCCTTTATTTCTTTTTGTTTTAAGGCCTTCGACATTGTATTTGTAACCAGCATTACAGGAACCAGTTTAAAACAAAAAGGTAAATCAGACTGGAATACGCTTGTGTTCACCAGGATTTTGTTTCCAACTCAACTGATTGCCAGCTAACACCTTTCTAAAAGGTACTTTGGACAATCCCCTGACATTACTTGTTTACCCTAGAAAAAACAAGTTTACATAAGCACAAAACAATAAGCACTGGCCTAACTTTGCCACTTGTTAAATCCAGGAGTTTGATTTGAACAGGCAACAGGCTAAGGCCAAGCGCTTTTGCGAATCCCACTCTGAATGTAATATCAATGCCAATCCCAGTTCTATTTAAATGTTTAACACACTGAGACTAAACGGACCAGTTGTCACCTCTTACAGCAGAGGTGGGCAAGATGCGGCCTGCCAGGCCATTCTACCCAGCCCGCGGAGCCCATAAAAAATTTAGAAAAATTAATATTTATCTGCCCCTGGCTGCCTGTCATGCAGCCCTCAATGGCTTGCCAAAACTCAATACATGGCCTTCCGCCCAAAATAATTGCCCACGCCTGTCTTACAAGAATTATTTAACCCAGTGGGGGCCAACCTTTCTGGCAGGCTTCTCACTCAATTCCTCTTCCTCTCCCCAGTCTGCTGCTCTGCTTTCTGCTCTGTACTCCAAACTCCCTGCCCAATTTCCAACACTTCCTGCCCTATGCTCCCTGCTTGCTGTCTTCTGGTTCCTGCCCTACCTGCTGCTGGGCTGCCTGTCTGCTCCCTGATCTGTCATACACCATGCACAGAGGTTGTCCATGCCACTTGTGTCATCCATGGCATTGGTTGGCCACCCCTAGTTTAAGCTATACATAGGCTCCAGGCATAGTCTGTGCAGGAAAGTGTACTAGTGTAGCTATACTAGGAAATCTTCCTAATGTAGGTGCAACTTATAGCAACAGATTGGAGCTTTGCCAGCAGAATATCACCTACAATTGTTCAGCAAGCAAAAGACCACAACACCATCATTAGGGCTTTAGCTGGCAAAAATATTGCAAGAACAACAATGCATCCTTCATTGGCATTGCTACACCAGCAAAGCTTTCCTAATTTACATCTTATGTACACCTAACTGCTTTATTGGGTCACAATCAATATTTTTCTTCATATCCATGAAAACTAAAGAAGTACCCTTAAATACATGCACACAATTTATGCCAAAACCAATGGGGTTACAAAAGTAGCACTGATATGGCAAGCTACCAAGTACTAATGAACTGGCTGTTTAGGAAAAGTGGATGTAGGTTTTAAACAACATAGGAAGCAGAACAAGGACAGCAGCTCGCTCTATTGTAATAATTTTTCACCTGTTTTGGTTTTTGCTGGCAATAGTTTTTTCTTAGTGTTAGACATGATGGTCCAGAAATTTGAGCGAGAAGGACAGATTTCTTAGGGTGATATCTTTTCTGGACCAACTGCATAGTTGGGATAGTTAGACAAGCTTTCGAATATAAAACACAAGAACCCAATGAAGAATGTTTTGTGGTTGTTGGAGTAAGAGACATCACCCTATGAAATCCTTGTTTCTTGCAAGTTCTTTCTTAAAACTTAAAGGAAAAACAGTTTGACATTATCTCCCAAATCCTGTAATATAATCAGTATCAGAAGGTTTACATCCCAGCTAAATCAATAGGAGAATAGAACTGAACATATGTTCCATATTTTAGGCATATGTTGCTTTTGTAATCAAAGGCACCTCCAGGGCAGCTGGCCTGTACCTAGCAACCTCACTTGTAAATCCTGTTACTGAAGCGGCCCTCTCTGGGAGGTATTAAATGTGTCAGCTAACTAACACGTCTGAAAGTCCAGGGTTGACAAGCCCCGTTAATTTTTAATGCATATTAAGCAAGTAAAGCTTCCAACCAATGTTAACGTGGTCTGAGAGCAGTAGGCCTAATTTACATCGGACTTTTCAAACTTAACATTAGGTTACACAGTCATCTCCACCATCTGTAAACCTTCTACTGGTCTTCACTTCCTTGTTTCCACTTTTTGACAATTTCTTGCTAGAACTTGAGAAAATCTGCATTTGTTTTCCCTATACTGGTACTACAGTTGTAGAGACTTGAAAATAGTCCAGCTAGGACATTAGTGATGTAATAGGACCCGTGTTCCTACCTGGTACTTTTTCTCCTAAAATTGATTCATAAAGATGAACAAATACATTGGCATCACATTCTAAAAGCTTCTTTATGTGTAGATTTATGTGACACTTCATTAGAAGATCATTGGCGATGTCAACCCATTCTATTAAAAACAATTAAACATGTTAATGACAGTTAACTATAGGAAAGAACAAAGCCTGGCTGCATGCAGAGATGCAGGGAGACTTCAAGCTGAAGGCTCAAACAACAATTTAGCTAGCATCTGTTTGCTAAAGAAACAAAACCTAATCCATTTTCCGATTGCATAACCAGGGGCTCTAAGGTCTTAAGAGATTTATGAAGACTCAGCAAATTGCTCATGCAGAAACTTCACCGCGTTCCCTTAAATTTAGTTACCGACGTGCGATTAAGGAAATGAACAGCTTTTAGGGTCTATTCTGCAGTCCTTACTTTCTCTCACTGATGCACAATAGAAACATGGAGGGTTTAGGGATCAAAACCTGGCCTTCAAGAAACCATGATTAAACAACAACAGGCAAGGATAGACTTTCACTTGTAGGATATAGTTGAGATTTGCTGCCATAGAATCCGATTTTCTAAACAAAATTAATAGTCAACTTGAAATCAGATAATGTTTTTGGATCCGAGTTGGCCAGTTTTAGTATCTAGTAGGAGCTGAGAGCAGGAGTATAGCATTTTTATTAAATGATGATGTCTGAAGGGCTTTAAAAAAGGTCTGGCACCCATAATAACATTGCCCCAAGATTTTTATTCCATTATTTTACTACTCAATTGTTAATTCTTCAGGAGTTTGGAGCAATAAGCAGGGAAGTAAGAAACGTGAACACTTACTCATATAAGCTAAATAGAAGGACTTCTATTATAGATGATAAATATATGGGACTGTTCCTGCAAACCTTCCGTATGCAAAACTCCTATAGAGTATAATGAAAATGTACAAAGGGTATGGAGAATAGAAGCCAATTTCTTGCTACCCTTTCAAAAGCCATATATTGAAAGACATCTACAATTCACACTCAGCAATTTTCTCCAATAACCTGTCCTAATTCATAGCCTAACAAATATAAAACTTAAAGGATGCGAGTTCATCTTAATCTCCACATCAGGGGACTCTTATGAAATGAGATTTTTCCCCCCCATTGTTTAAGAACAGACATTCTTACAGAAAGATTAAAAATGATTTTCCATCTTCTTGTTTCCATTTAATCAAATAGTTCAACAGGAGAATCCTGTATAGATCATAAGTGATCTAACGGCTATTTCCCTCTCAGCCATGGCAGTGTTACTGTGTATAAATTGTACAGTTTGATTTCTGGCCAGTTTCCAAAGAGGAGGAGACGAACAAGTCCCAAACAATGGACGCTGCTGTGAAATACAAATGCCGCCTTCCAGTGGCGCCAAGCAAGATGAGAAAGGGGAGGAGGATGGATGGGCATGGGAGGGTGAACGAGCAAGGCTAGCTTTAGCTTAAAGCAGGGGTGGGCAATTATTTTGGGCAGAGGGCCACTTGCTGAGTTTTGGCAAACCATCAAGGGCTGCATGACAGGCAGCCCAGGGCATATAATATTACATTTTCTAAGTTTTTTTTAGGGGCCCCACAGGCCAGATTGAATGCTCCATCCAGTCCCTGGGCCACACTTTGCCCACCCCTGGCTTAAAGGCAACACCTAGAGCTGCAGAACACGCCTGAGGAAGGGCAAGATTGTGTTTGGCATGTGGCGGGTTACAAAACTCGCTGCCCTTCAACACGTAAGTGCCACAGCGGGTCAGACCAACGGTCCACCTAGCCCGGTATCCCATCTCTGACAGCCCTCCATGCCTCTGCAGGGCAGCGAGCGCTGCTCTGCTCCGTGTTCCCTCCTGATGCCCTAGTTATTAACCTACGACCTCACTCCCGTTCTCATTTTCTTTTTTGCTGTCCCAAGCCATCAACTGACGTGTCCCCCTCGTCCAGGGAGCCTTAGTGTCCACGATGCCCAACAGGCCACTAGGTTTTCCTTGGCACACTCTCTCTCTGGCAGCCCTCGACGCCGAGGGGCGATGCGCTCTGCTTGGTCGCCCTTCGTTCTTCACCTCCGACCTCAGCCCTGTTCCCGTTTTCTTTTTTATTGCCCCACAAAGGTCCTCAGTGGCCTCCCCTTTAAAGGGGGGCTTGCAGCATTCGGGCCAAGCACACGTGCCAAAAGAGCCCACAAGTTGGTTGTTTTTTTTAGCACATCCAAGAGGCCCATCTCTGACTGTTCGTCTTCCCGCCACTCACGTCTCTGGGCAGTTTGGCATCTGCAGGCTCCCTCGACTTGTCTGGGGGGGGGGGGGGGTGCATCAGACCCCGGATCTGTTGCTACTCACCTATGATCCTTGGTTTTTGTTAATTTCTCCCCTGTTTTTACCTGCCCCGCTCCCCATGGGAAGGGTCTAGGCCCTAGAAACGAGGCGGCCCGTCCCCGACGGCAGGGAGGCAGATGCTAGGCCAGGAGAGCCTGCAGCAGGGCATCCCTGGAGGGTTCAGCACCCCCGTGAGGGACGGGTCGGCACGGTGTGGCCTCGGGCGACCCCCCCCGGGCCCTG